GTTGCAGTTTGGCCAGGGTGGGTTTGAACCCACCACCCTACCCACTGAGCCACAGGCACCATTCGAAATATTTTTAATATTACTTCCACTCAGTGTCCTGAAACCCCAAAAGCCAACCTTTGACTTTGCTTATATTGATTTGTGGAAATTTTCCAGAATCATCTAAACATTATAATAGCATACCTACTCACCAGACATGTGATTTTTCCATTCTCTTTTCCTTAGTGAGCACAAGCAGTTCTTATTCGAAGATCATTAAGAGGATTAGGCTGTGGGAATGAGGGTGGTAAGGAACAGAACAGTTATTGCCAGAAAGAAGGAAAACTGTACTATTAATTGTTCAGAGGATAGCCTGTTATTCTACCCATGTAAACAGTCAAGGCAAAATGCGGCAGATGAATAAAGGGGGTTCTGTAGAGAGCAAGGGACTTTGGCAGGAACCACAGTGCTGCAGTGGTGAAGAGGCCTCCTGCTGGGAGCTGCGATGGAAAAAGTGACCTCAAAGAGAAAACGCAGAACAGAAATGCTCAGAAAGAGATGAAACACCACAAAGTTTTTGTTAAGTCATTTGGTTCCAGGCTTATAAAAGTATAAGGCTATGTAAGCCCCCAAAGGCAGATTATGTGAAATTTTGTACATTACTTTCCTATTCTAATAGTAACTTTGAATTCCAAAGTGCCTCTACCCACAGATTCCTTACAAAAGATCTATAATGTTTAGAAACACTTTCTTATAAAGAGGTCTGGGCAGGAGAAGAAAAATACCTAGTCTGAAGCCACTGGGCTTAGATTACTCAGTGTTCCACTGAGCTGCCCCAGCACAGGGCCCACTGATTAGGAACTCCAAAAGAGGAAGCACCAAAAAGAAACCCTTGCGTGCCATTTACTTCTCTTGTTACCCAGCTAGAGAGGGTGCTGCTTTTACAGAAACGTTTGTACAGACATACCTGGGGGATACTGTGGGTTCAATTCCAGGCCACAGCAATAAAGCAAACATTGTAATAAAGCAAGTCACACAAATGTTTTTGTTTCCTGGTGCATATAAAAGTTACATTTATATTATACTGTGGTCTATTTAATTTGCAATCTCATTTTGTGCATACCTTAACTTAAAAATGCGTTCTTGCTAAAAATGCTAATGATCATCTGGGCCTTCAGCAAGTTGTAATGTTTTTGCTAGTGGAGAATCTTGCCTTGATGGTTGATGGCTACTGGCTGATGAGGTTGGTGTTTGCTAAAGGTTGGGGTTGCTGTGGTAATTTCTTAAAATAAGACAACAGTGAAGTTCACCACGTCTATGGGCTCTTGCTTTCACAAAAGAGCTGTCTGTGGCCCGCGATGCTGTTAGATAACATGTTACCCATAATAAAAATTCTTTCAAAGTTGGAGTCAGTCTTCTCAAATCCTGCTGCTGCTTTATCAACTAAGTTCATATAAAATTCTAAATCCTTTCTTGTCGTTTATACAATGTCTGCAGCATCCTTACCAGGAATAGATTCCATCTCAAGAAACCATTCTTTGCTCATCCATAAAATGCAACTCCTTATCCACTCAAGTTTTATCACGAGATTGTGGCAATTCAGTCACATCTTCAGGCTCCAATTATAATTCTAGCTTTTTGCTATTTCCACCACATCTGCAATTACTTCCTCCACTGAAGTCTTTAATCCTCAAAGTCATCTATGAAGATTGGAATCAACTTCTTCCAAACTCCTTTTCATTTTGATATTTTGACATCCTCCTATGAATCATGACTGTTCTTAAAGGCATCTAGAATGGTGAATCCTTTCCAAAGGATTTGCAATCTGCTTTGAACAGATCCATCAGAGGCTTTGATATCTATGGCAGCTAATGCTTTACAAAATGTATTTATTTCTTAAATAGTAAGACTTGAAAGAGAAATTACTCCTTGATGTACAGGCTAAAGAATGAATTCTATATCAGCAGGGATGAAAATAATATTTATCTCCTTTAACATCTTCACCAGAGGTCTTGGGAAACCAGGTGGATAGCCAATGAAGAGCAATATTTTGAATGGGATCTCATTTTCTAAACAGTAGTTCTCAATAGTGGACTTAAAATATTCAGCCAACCATGGTATAAACAGATGTGCTGTCTTTTAGGCTCTGTTGTTCCATTTATAGAGCACAAACAGAATAGATTTAGTACAATTCTGAAGGACCCTATGATTTGGGGAATGGTAAAGGGGCATTGGCTTCAACATAAAGTCATCAGCTGCATTAGCCCATAACGAGAGAGTCAGTCTTTCCTCTGAAGCTTGGAAGCTGGGCATTGACATCTAACTCTGTAGCTGTGAACGTCCTCGATGGCATCTTCTTTTAATAGAAGGTTGTTCTGTCTGCATTGAAAATGTATCATTTAAGGTAGCCGCCTTTATCAATTACCTTAGCCAAGTCTTGTAGGTCGTTGGCTGCAGCTTCCTCATCAGCACTTGCTTTACCTTGCCCTTCCATGTTATAGAGACGGCATCTTTCCTTAAATCTCATGAACCAACCCTGCTAGCTTCAAACATCTCTTCTGCAGCTTTCCTTCCCCTCTCAGCCCTCACAGAATTAAAGAGAGTTAGGCCTTGCTCTGGCTTTGGCTTTGGCTTAAGGGAATGCTGCGGCAGCTTTGATCTTCTATCCAGACAGCTACAACTTTCTCCATATAGGCAATAAGGCTGATTCACTTTCTTATTATTCTTGTGTTTACTGGATTAGCACTTTCATGTCTAACTTTTTTTTTTCACTCATAGTTTAGCTATTTGGTATAAGAGGCCTAGCTTTTGGCCTATCTGAGCTTTTGACATGCCTTCCTCACCAAGTGTGAACACGTCCAGCTTTTGATTTAAAGTGAAAGATCTGCGATTCTTCTTTTTACTTGAAGGCTTAAAGCCACAGTATAGTTATTAATTGCCTTATTTCAACATTTTTGTGTCTCAAGGAACAGGGAGGCGTAAGAAGAGAGAGAGAGGGAGAAGGTTAGTCAATGGATTGGTCAGACAATATACATTTATCAATTAAGTTCGCTGTCTTATATGGACACCGTTCCCTGGAATCCCAAAACAATTACAATAGTAACATCAAATATCAATAATCATAGATCACCATAAAAGATAAAAGTCATTAGGAAAAAGTCTGAAATATTTCAAAAATTACCAAACTAAGAAAGGAAGACATGAAATGAGCACATACTGTTGGAAAAATGGCATCAGTAGACTTGCTTGATAATACGAGGTAGGGTTGCCACAAATCTTCAATTTGTAAAAACCACAGTATCTGCAAAGCACAGTAAGGAGAAGTGCAATAAAACAAGGTATGTTTGTATGTGTGTATTACAGCAGCAATTTATGTATTCCACTACCTGTATTTATCCGGTACAAAGTACAGTACTTCAGAGTTGGGGTCTCCTTCTATGTGAGCAGATTTTGAAATGTATTTAATAAATCAGACTTTTATAAGAAAAAAATGAAGTGCATAATGGCTAAGAACAAAATCATAGTCTATAAAAAATACATACCACCCTACCCACCCCACCCAAACAGCTTTTAAATACAGAGCTACATTTTGAGCAAAGCATGAATCAAGTCACATATTTAATGTCAGTAGAGTATAATTTTAGAGTCATGCCAGGAAGAAAAGGGGGGTGTAAACACATAAAACTTATTTATATTTTTATGTATGCTATGTCCCACAAATTAAAAATAAACTTTCAAGAGTACCATTTCTCAAGTTTATCAACTCCTGGAGTTTAAAACTCTTGTGGTTATCTATCAGCGCCCTCTGGTGTTCAAATATATTATTTTAGTTTGCCTTGAGGCAAAAAGTAAGCTGGTATATAAGGAGACCATTTTATAGTCAGCATTCTTTCATTTGCCAAATATTTACTGAATGTCTAGTATATCCCAGTTACTTGTGGGAAACATTAGGGTGGAAATTGTATTTTTAAAAAGACATGGTTTCTTGTTTTGTTCTTAAGGGGCCCACAGTCTCACAGGGGAGACAAATGTAAACTCAATTGAACAAAATTACTTTTAAAAATTGCTTTACTGAATTTTTCACTAAACTGAGACATACATAGATAGGGCGCCTCCCTTTCCAAATTGTTCTCAATCATTATTCATGTTAGCAGATACCTGGCTGGCTTTGGACACAACAACTTTGGTCAAGTACAGAGGGAACGTTCTGAAATAAACATCCCAGTACAGAGACTGAGTCCCAGGTTTAAAGATTTGAGAAAGCAACTTCCACAGTAAACTGCAAAAGACACTTCTGGTTTGGGGGTTTGTAGTCATTTAAGACCCTGCCAGTTACCAGATCAGTCACACAAGTCTGACACTCATTAAGTCTTACATTTCTTTCTGAAAATACTGTTTTTCTAGCACTATGAGGAAAGGCCTTAACATGAATCAAACCAAAAACCTTAAGAAATCAAGAGACCCTAAGTCTTTATCATGAATTGTCTTAGGATTCTTAGAACTGAAAATTGATCACCAGAGTCCCTGAAGCCATATTGTTCTGAATAGGTACAGAAGTACCTAGTCTTTTAGGGAAGCAGAGGAAGCCTGAAGGAATTACGGAGACCTTCCATCAAGAATAAAAGTAAAATTCAAATGCTATCAAAGGAAAGGAGTCAGGCATGACTACAGCCCAAGAATGATGCCTTGTGCCACTTTGTAATGTCACTTTTTGTCATTTTTCCCCATTCTTATGTTATTGTTTCCTATTAGCCATGAAATCGCAGTATGTAGGCAGGACCTGTGACTTGCTTCTAACCAACAGAATATGGCAAAAGTGACAAGGGGCACATGATTACATTACATAAGATTATTAGGTCCATCTTATGGAGCCTCTCCCTTGCTGGCTTTCAAAAGCAACCAGTTCTGTTGGGAAGGCCCATGTGGCAAAGAGCTAAAGGTGACCTCCTGCCAACAGCCTGGACCCCACTCAAGGAACTAAAGACTGTAGATAACCACATGAGTGAGAAACAAAACCCTTCCCAGTGAAGCTTCAGGTAAGACCACAGTCCAGGACAACACCTTGACTGCAGCCTTACAGAGGATTCAACTGATTGTGCCCAGACTCCTTACACACAAAAACTATGAGATAATAACTGTGTGCTATAAGTTTGTATAACATTATCATGTAATGATAGATAACTAATATAAATTTCAAGACACATTTTAAGATGTTTTTATTATAAAATACAAACAAGAACTGAAATACTGAGGAAAGACAGTCATCCATTTACTGCCTGCCAACCTACTAGAACCATAGTTAGTAATTTGAGTTATTTTATCATCCTTTTATTACATGCATGATGTGTTATTTGTAGCCATGATTGCATGCATTCATACTTTTATTATATTTTGCAATTTTTACTTAATGTAACATTTTCTCATGTATTTAATGTATTCATTACTAATTTTTCAGGAGTATATGTTATACCATTCATAGATCTCTGTTTAGTAACTATTTCCTAGACCAGGTGATGGCAAATTATGGTTCCATATTTGTAAATAAAGTTTTATTGGAACACAGCCATGGCCATTTGTTCACATACTGTTTATGGCTGCTTTTGTGCTACAAACGGCAGTGTTGATAAGTTATAAGAGATAGTAAAGACCTGAAAAGCCTAAAATATGTACTTTCTGGCCCTTTATTAAAAAAACTGTGGACCCCTGCCCTAAACTTTTAAGTGCTTTATAATTTGGGCTATTAAAAGTAATGCCACTTGGAACATCTTTATGCATGTATTTTTTCATACTTTTGACAACTTAATTAGAAGAACAATTAAAACAAGCAGAACAACTGGGTCTAATTAATAAAGACATTTTAAGGCTGACACTGTCCTACACTCTCTCTCTTGTAATATTCTAGCTATAAAAAAGGTAGTGGTGATAAGAATGGAAAGGAAGACCCAATATTCTTGCAGGTAGCACTTCTCGGGTCCCTATTAATGTACACATGGAAGTTTATACCCTGAATGAACATATTTTTATTTTTGATATAAAGTCAACCAAAGAGGGAAGTAACAGTAATTGTAAAAGGAAGACTAGACTAAATCAAAGAAATCTTTTACTTTTCATTGGTGATTAAAAAAAAAAAAAACAGAGATAAATTCTCCAGGTGTCAACATGTATATGAAATACCATTCCAAGCTAGCCGTAGTGGCCAAAAGGCTCTGGGAGTTGAGTACAAAAAAGAGGAGGGAGACTTCATACGAGCTAGCAGTGGCAGTAATGAACAGAGTCTGCCACGAGTGTGGGATGACAGAGCAGCACATGGGTTCCGCCCCTTTGAACATATCCTAGGTACAACCTGCTCACAGCTACAATAAACGTCTCTAGATAAGAAAGTTCTAAGAGCAACTACCCTATATTTTTGAAGAAAAACTTTCTTCTATCTGGGGAAGTTTTATTCTGAAGAAAAAAAAAATCTGGAATTGGAAAGTCAACCTTGACTAGTCAACCCAAACAATCTAAGTCAACACTGACTAGTCATCTCTGGAAAAAAAGATGAAGCAGGCTGATCAGTCTCAAATCCAATCTTGTATGAATAAAATATGCGTCAGGAAGTATAAAGGTCATCTTCTAAGGGAAATATTCTGCAATATATAAAAAAGAAAAGATTAGGATGGACTTATTCCCCTATAAATATTGTAATTTTAAAACACAATTATAAAGACACTTAATGTAATTATCCCAATTATGCTAACAATGTGTATAAAGAAATCACATGTATATGACACATTTATTCCATTTAAATGTTCCTGTCAAAATGTCAACCAATTTAACATTTCCTAAAGAAGTATTCTTTTAGTTAAAACTATTATTAGCCTTTACATTCCACCTCGGTTACTCACTAAATAATTGCATGATGATTTCACGAAATACTCTGGGAAACTATGAAATTCTCCATGGAGTAAAGGAATCAAATTATTTTTGCAAAACTAACTAGGAACGTGATACTTTGAAAAATAGATAGCCAGTTTTCTGAAGTATAAAATCAAACCATTTTTTCCCTGAATTTTTCACATGGCAAAGAAAGTGGTAGTACTATGAATAACTTGATACACACTTAAAAATCATGGCATAATTTTCTTCTTTTTTCACTGGTTACTGTCAGTGACCTCAAAACTGACCTGAGGGTCTGGCAGCATAAATCCATCAGTAAGTTTATAATAGACTATTGTAGAATCAGATTCCACTATGGCCAAAATAAAAGACATCGGCAAATCAGGATCGTCTTGCAATTTTCGTGATGCCTTCAAGATCTCCCTTATCCTGAAAATAAAGTCACAACACGTTTAGGATTTACAGTCACTCAACGATCAATGATAAAATCAAATACTGTAAAATCTTGAGGAAGGAGGAGGCAATTACACCATACCCAAATGCTGACTAAGGCAATGTCTGAAGGCTCAGATATAAACATTTAAAGCTATCTTCTTACACAGAAAATCCCGGAAGTAAGAGTTATCTATTGACTTCCAGTCTTTCTGAAAACATTCACCCATCTTTCCTAATGATTATCAGTGAGAGAATCAGACTGTATTTAGACACATGTAAAATGGTACATCAAGAGTGCTTGGTTCATCTAAATTGGTTCAGGATGCTGAGTGTTAATTTTCCAACATGGTATCTTATAGTGAAACAATTTGGTATTCAAATTTGTTATTTTAAAAAATAGGGCATAATAAAGATTTCCCCCATGTTTTTACCTTGGGTTAATAACTGCTACCTTTAAATGGCAATATAATATTCCACCGACCACAATTTACCTAATCTCCCCCCTATTATTGTGCAGTTCTTTAAGTTTATTTGGGGGGGGGGAGAGATCAAAAGAGGAAGATGCCCATAAAGATAAGCTGCAATGATGATATTTCTGCATGCAACTGTTTCTCTTTAAGTATTTCTGTTAAGTTCTTCCAGTAGCAGAATTATCAGATTTGGAGTAGAGATATTTTCATGGTTCTCAATATGTATTCTGACACAATAAAAGCTGAGAGAAATAAAATTGTTTGTTGTAGAAAATAATCTACCAAATCTAATACCTATGTCTTCAAAGCATTATTGGCTTTTGTTAACCAGGAACAATAATGAAAAATCCTTATTACCTACCCAACGAAGCCTGTGTTCAATGACTCAGGAAAACGTTACCCCCTGAGCTTTCTTAAAAAGGCGAATAAAAAATGATCAGTTGTTTTTTCATTAAGCCAACCAATTCTCCAGAAATTGAAAAGATATTTATTAGCATATTAACATTCCACCAGTGAATACGTAACAGTTTATTCTCTTAGCAAAAGGGTAATTTGTTCCCTTAAGTTCTACTTCTCAACTCAAAGTAAAAATCCCTACAGCCACACTTTACCCATCCTCTTAGCTATTGAATCCACAAAGAATCTAAAAAGAAAAGTCTCTGCTTTGAAATATTCTTACAATAATTATAATGCTTTTAAGACTGGAGATATTCAGAGCAATTTCAAACAGCAATAAACTTCTGGAAAAGCTGAAACTAAATTGTCCTTTTTAAAATACCACTTAATCACTGTGTAATATGTTAAAGGGTGTAACTGGCTTAAACAGCAGTCAAAAAAGGTTGCTTACCTCTACCTATCATTTAAGTTTCCACAGAAAAATAATAATTTGAGAAGAGAATGAGTTTCTAAGTTTGTTTCCTCATATTTAAACCAATTCTAAAATGACTTTGAAAGAGTTAAGTCAAAAATACGCGAATACTCAGTTTTCAAGCCTAACTGTCAAGCAACATTTACTACGTAAATAAAATACGTCTACCTGGAAAAACATGAATTCCTTTTCAAAGGTCAGACAGGATGGTTCTTTCTCTTAAGTCTTCTCTGTCACCTTTCCCCAACCTCTAGGCAAAGTCAGATACCTTACCCCACAACAGTACTTTGTGTAAACAGACATTACTCTAGTCACTATGTTATATTAAATATTTACATATCTAAGTGGTTTTTTCCCATTGGATCATAACCATTTTGAGGGTGAAACTTTAAAAAAAAAAAATTAATGCCCACTATGGAGCAGAGTACGTGGGCAAAATGAACGAGATTTTTCTTAACAAAGGTTTACATATGCTATACCTAACTCATTTAGGCATGTAAACTTTAAAATACATTTCTGACAAATAGTTTTCTAAAATTTATTATACAACTCTATTATACTGAACGGAAGTTCAAACTTGTCTTGACAGTTCAAGATCATCCTTTTTGGTACTTATTATTGTACCAAAAATAGACCATATGGCACTTGGAACCAAAGTCGATCCCAGAACTTAACTTAAAAGTATCTGCTATTTGCCTGCTTTTTATTCAACTGTTTTGTCACTTGGCTCTGTATCAGGTAAACTACAGTCACCTGTTCTTTTATGGTCCATGAGTCAAGAATGTTCTTTACATCAGTAAATGGCATATTTTTAATGGTTACAGAAGTACCTACACATAGCCTCAATTTTGCCTCTTGGTCCACAAAGCCTGAATTATTAATTATTTGGCCCTTTAAGAAAAGTTTGCTCGGCAGTGCCTGTAGCTTAGTCGGTAGGCTGCCCGCCACATACACTGGGGCTGGTGAGTTCAAACCCAGCCTGAGCCAGCTAAAACAACAATGACAACTGCAACAACAACAACAAAATAGCCAGAGGCAATGCCTATGGCTCAAAGGAGTAGGGCACCGGCCCCATATGCCAGAGGTAATGGGTTCAAACCCAGCCCAGGCCAAAAACTGCAAAAAAAAAATAAAATAGCCAGGCATTGTGGTGGGTGCCTGTATTACTGGCTACTTAGGAAGCTAAGGCAAGAGAATCACTTAAACCCAAGAGTTTGAGGTTGCTGTGAGCTACTATATCAGGGCACATCTACTGAGGGCAACAAAGTGAGACTCTGTCTCAAAAAAAAAAAAAAAAATAGAAAAAAAAAGAATAGAAAAAAGCCTTTTCTATTTCTATACCATGAAAAGGGGTTAAAAATAAGAATTATATTAAAAAGATAGGATCATCAGGGCAGTGAACTTTTTTATTTTCAAAATTGTTGATTCAAAGGCAAAGCAGGAAGTGGTGCCACTTCAAATTAGGATGTAGAAGATGTTAAAAGACCACCATTCCTACCATAAATAAAGAGAAAACATACGATTAACTTAAAGATATCACATTTTTCTTTAAAGCCATAAAGGATATGTGAACACAAAATTTAAAGGAATTAAATTCTAACAAGAAATGAGTGGAGACTAACACCTCTCTCCAACTACCCATCTCTCAGGACAGTTGCTAAGTCTGGGCACAAGCGGCTAGAGGAGTGAGCTGTTAATAGCCAAGCAACCTCCCTGGGACAAAGAGAAAACAGCAATGCAAGGACAAACAGCCACGCACGAGCTGGCACGGTGGACTGGACGCTGGAAAGACCCCAATCCCTCTAGTCCATCACTTCTTCCCCGGGGACTTCTGCTAATAAGCAACAGGATGAAATGCCGGGTAAGGGGCTAGAAAATGGCAAGCAAGCTCTAATCACAAGGGCCTGCTGAGGACAAGGGTCTCATCCCACTCTCAGATCATCTGAAACCAGAAGAGAACTGAGATAATTACAGCTGAGACTTACTCCTTAACCTTCCTTGACTTCTGATTAGACTGACCAATTCAGCCCCTTCTCCTACTTGCCAGACACAGGAAAGGATGAGTCCTTAGGGACAGGGAGTACCTCAACATCAGTCTCTTATTATTTACAATGTCAGGTATTGTATTGTGAAAAATTTTAAGCAATGTGAAGAAGCAGGAAAATGTAGTTAAAATTCAAGAGCAAAAACTCAATATCAGAACTTAAAAAAAACAAGGTTATTAAAAAACCCAGATGTTGGAATTAATAGCTAGTGACTCCAAAATAACTACTATAAATGTTATAGTATTGAGAAAGAAACAGACGAAATGAGTAATAGGATGAAAATTTAAACAGAAAAATGAAAATTCTAAAAAAGTGGATATTCTAATTTCTCATACACATACACATACATACACACACACACACACACACACACACACACACACATAGTACTGACCAGGCATGGCAGAAAAAAGCACTAGCAAACTTGAAAACAGATCATAAAAAACTGAAAAGATAAAAAACATCAGAGGCCTTTGGTACAGTATCAAATAAATATCATTGAAAACATATATGTCTCACGGAAATCACAGAAACAAAGGAAAGGAGAGAATGGTACAGAAGTAGCTGCAAACTTTCCAAAATTAGTGTTTCTGAATCTAAAGTGGGTCTTTTGCAGACAGCATAGAGTTGTTTTTATGTTCCGTCTGACGATCTCTGTCCTTTGATTGGAGTGTTTAAATCACTTGCACTTCAAATCAACACTGGAATGGCTGGATGATGTCTGCAGTTAGCGGTTTTCTGTATATCATGTCTTTTCCCCCCTCTAACTCTGATACTCCTTTACCACCTTATTTTGTCATTAAACAGACATTTTCCAGTGCATTATTTTAGTTTCTTTTTTTGAGTTTTTAGTGGAGACACTAGGGATTACTATTACAGCTAAATTTATCACAATTTTGTGTGTGTGGGCGGGGTGAAACTGAGTCTCGCTCTGTCTCCTGAGCTAGAGTGCGGCAGCATCATCACAGCTCACTTCAAACTCCAATTCCTAGGGTCAAGGACTCCTCCTGACTCAGCCTCCCAAGCAGCTGGGACTACAGGCATGCACCAGGCCTGGGTGATATCTTCTCTTTTTAGTGGAGACAGAGTCTCACTCTTACTCAGGCTGCCCTCTAGATCCTCCCACCTCGGCCTCCCACAGTGCTTGGATTATAGGACAAAATGAGCAACAAAATGAAAAATTATAGGTGTGAGCCATGGACCCTGGCCAAGTATCACAGTTTATCTCAGATTAATATTAACTTGATTCTAATAAAACACAGAGACTGCTCCAATATAGCTTTAGTCCTTTCGTAGTTGTGTATGTTTATCTATTATAAACCCAATACTTACTGCTTCCTACAAGTTTATGTTCTTTTTAAAATTAAAGGGGAAAAGGAGAAAAATATATTAGAGTCTTTTATATTAACATATTCAATATCTCTGGTACTCTTCATTTCTCCTTCATTAACTTCTGGTGTCATTTCCTCATCCAACACAGCACCATTCCCCCCTCCATCCCTTGTGTTAATACTGTCACATGTGTTATTTCTTCACATGCTATAAGCCTGGTCAGCTGATTTTTGACAAAGTTACAAAGTGATTCAATGGACAAAGTCTTTTTAACAAAAG